AAGCTGGGTAGGGAAATGGGAACTGAAGCAGAAACTCAGAAAGCCCTGCCAGGAAATACTCCACAAGGAACAGGTCAGAGAATGTTTGGGGCCAGTTAAGAAGCAAAAGAAGAAGCCTGGGATTGAGGGACGTGAAGGGTGGACCAGTCCAGTTCTGACCCTGATGCTGAGGAACTGAGGCCTCTAGCCATCTCCTGTTGACGAGGACACTGTGTAGTAGGAGGTGGTATACACAACCATCGACTGCCCACTCACAGGGACCCTAGAGATGAGAGTAGAACGGCTCCTTAGGGGTTTCCAAGACTGTAAATCTTCATGGGAGCAGGAAGCTACATTGTTCACCCCCAGGGGTGGCTGGTGGGTTTGAACCGCCAACCTTGAAGTTAACAGCCTGACACTTACTCCATTGCACCACCAACATTCCGTGGAACATACAAGGGGGCACTGATACTTACTGAGCATCTACAATGTGTCAGACCCCGCCCAAAGTGCTGGGGATACAACCAACAGTGAATGAAATGGACCAAGCCCAGGGGAGTGAGGGTGGGTGGGGAGGTCATAAAATGATAAATACCACAAGACCATGCCAAGTAGTACAGAGAGCTAAAAACAAGGACAAACCAGGGGAGAGGGACAGACACGGCTGGGGGGACCCTCTTAGAGAGGGAAACGACATCAGGGCAGAGTTCTGGAAGCAGGAGGGAGGAAACAGGCTGGGTATGTGGAGGAAGAGCATTCCAGGTCGCCAAGGAAACACAAGTGCAAAATGCAGAGGCAGGGGCATTTGGACACGATGAACACATCTGGAGCCGGGTGAATACAAGACGGCAGCGGGACAGGAGCCGTAGGACTCAATACGCTCGCCCTGACCTTCTATCCTGAATACCTGCGGCGCTAACAGTGAGACCAAGTGCGGCTGACGCTGGTGGGTTGAAAAACTTGATGAGACAGATGGCTACTGTTGATATTCAACCATATATAAGCATTAGAACAGACCTGTCAACACGAACCACGTTGGCACAGCAGATTTCAGAGAGAACATTTTAGAACAAATGAAGTTCATTTCCTTGCATGAATTTGAACCCACTTAAAAAAACAATGGTGTTAAACAGAGCCAAGTCATTACAATGCTAGTTGTCTGCAAGGGTGCCAATAAAACCCTACACAGCCTAAGGCAAATCAAGACGTTAGGATCTATTCAAGGAGGGAGAAATTAAAAACAAAAACAAAAACAAAAAAAAAAAAAACAAGGCTGCAATAGCTCTTCCTTTCCCAGGAGCTAATGGCGCTAACACCCACTCAGAGCTATAGAAACTTCCTAATTTTCCATCCTTAAGTTTTCTCTGAAACAAAAGCTCCTTAAAAAGAAACCAAACCAAAATGAGAAGATGTGTGCCGCAGCATGTCCCCAAGTGTTTCATAACAGAACCCCAAGCCCTTGAGCTCCAATTTAAATCTGATCGCATCTGGGATTTACTGCTGCCAGCAGGAGAAACCCTCCTCTGCCCAAGAGGAGTCTGAAAATAGTCACCCACCCACATTCTGGCTGTCATATGCTGCTGACAGGCAGCCCTGGTCTGAGACAGAATGTGTTTCTGGAACTACAACCAAGGTGGACTTGAGTAAGGTCTAGCAGGAGCAGGGGACAAACGCCTGAATACGTTGTTGTTGTTAGGTGCCATCTAGTCAGCACTAACTCATAGCAACCCAGTGCACAACAGAACGAAACACTGCCTGGTCCTGGGCCAACCTCACAATTGTTGCCACGCTTGAGTCTACTGATGCTGCCACTTTGCCAATCCATCTTGCTGGGGGTCTTCCTCTTTTTCTCTGACCCTTCACCTTACCAAACATGATATCCTTCTCCAGCGACCAGTCCCTCCTCACAATATGTCCGAAGTACGAGGGGCTTCAAAAAGCTAGTGGAAAAATGGAACTAAAAAATAAAGGAATAAGCACTGGACTGCTAACTGAAAGGTCGGCAGTTCAAACCCACCAGCTGCTCCTCAGAAACCCTTTCCAGGGCTGCTATGAGTTGGAACGGACTTAACAACAAAAAAGACAACAGATGAATTGAAGTGCTATCAGGTTAGACTCAGTTGGAGGGGGCGCAGATCACAAAGCAGCCGGAATGTGGGTGAGGGTGGTCTCACCCATAACAGACTTCCCTCATGGTGCGCAAGCCCTGGTGGCACTGTAGGATAAGCACTGGCCTGCTAACCACAAAGTTGGCAGTTCAAACCCACCTATTGCTCTCGGCTCCTATGAAGACGTAGTCTCAGAAAACCCTACAAAAGGACAGTATGAGTAGGAATTGACAGGGTGGCAGCGAGATTTCCAGCACGGGAGGCGAGAATTCTACACTGACTGAGGGCAGCCCTTCCCTTCCATTGTAGGCGCCATGCATGGAGCCTCCTAGCAGATCTCCCTTCTTCACAAAGATTCGGAGAATCTGGCCTGCCTTCCCGGTATCCACCCCTTCCTGCTCTCTTTTAAGGAGTACTGGTGGTAAGTGTTGGGCATCCTGACAATCTCAACAGCCACTCCAAGGGGAAAGATGAGGCCATCTGCTCGCATAAACATTATAGACTCGGAACCTTAAGGAGTAGGTCTTCTCTGCCCTATGTTGTTGTTGTCATGTGCCATGGAGTGGGTTCTGACTCATAGTGACCCTGCACAGGGTTTCTGAGGCTGTAAATCTTTACGGGAGCAGAAAGCCTCCTCTCTCTCCCGTGGAACCACTGGTAGTTTCGAACTGCCGACCTTGAGGTTAGCAACTCTGTACTATAGGGTCACTGATTTGGAAAAGACTCTGTGGCAGGGGGTGGGTGGCTCTGTTTTAAGCAGCCCTGGTGGCACAGAGGTTAAGCACTCCACTGCTAATGGAAAGGTTGCCCGCCAGGTGCTCCACAGAACGAGGTTGTTGTTGTTGTTGTTAAGTGCCGTCAAGTCGGTTCCGACTCATAGCGACCCTGTACAGGGTTTCCGAGGGTGTAAATCTTTACGGGAGTAGAGGTAGCAGTCTGTAAAGAGGTCGTGGTTTGTGTTTGTAAAGATCTATAACCTCGGGAACCCTATGGGCAGCTCTAGTTTGTCCTACACGAACACTAGGGGTCAGAATTGGCAGCAATGAGTTTTCCTGGTTTGGATTGGTGTTTAATGCCCTGCCTTGTTTTCATTCTTTCTGCTGGACCACGAATGCATGCTTTCTTCCTGCTCTGGATGAGATGCTGGTGCATTTTGAGCAAGGGTACAAGCATGCAGAGGGAGCCCAGGTGTGTGCACACAGAGCTAAATGCTGGGCTTCAGGAGGTCGGAGGATCCTCTCAACATACAGCTAACTGTGTGTGTGTACATACATAGGGAAGAATGTCTCTCCTCCGTGCCACCGACTCAGAGCAGAGTCCAGCCTCAACATAGCAACTACCTTAAGCTCAAGCATTACATCAGAGGAATGTGCAAAAGGCGTTTAACTCACCACATCTGCACTGGATTGACACCCAAGCTTAAAAATACAGGGAGATTCTCAGCACTTATATGTCTGATGTTGCAACGACTATCTGTTTACACACTGCACAGAGAAACCCCTACAGTCTGGGAGGATCAAATTCGATCTTCCGGCCATCAGACAGGGTCTTCTTGGGGTGGTAGACAACAATGTTGGGGCACCTGTCTCGTGAACCAGAGAGAGTGAAATCTTTATAAGGACTTTCTCAAACACAGGGAAGAAGAGCTGAAAGCAGATTCTCTCCAAAGACCAAGAAGACTGGGGCTCACACAGCTGAAGGCAGTGAGCCTTCAGGAAGAGGACGAGTGTCAATCACCAGAGAACTGATCTTGGTGAGTCCTCACTTACTCTTCCTGTCTCCTCTTTACTTGAACAGTAACGACCTTGCCTCTCCAGACCCCTGCGTCCCTCCCTGTGGGAAAGAACACATCAGGACCTCCCGACAGTGGTCCACTCAGCGCCCTGAAGATTGGATCTGTAACTGGGCATGGGGTTTAAGCCTGAGAAAGGGAGGGGACCCATAACGCCTGTACTTTGTGCAGTGAGGGGCCTGGGCTCCAAGGCAGGAGTGTTGCCTTGCCTGGGAGTATACCTCAAAGAACCCAAGGCTTCACAAGGTCTGTGGAGACCTGGTGTGTGCATGCAGAAGTACTTTTTCTGAGGGGTGTGCAGAGCTCTCTTCAGATTATCTAAGGAATTGGTGGCCCCCAAAGGCCAGGCCTTTGGAGTCCTGGTGTGGCACTGTGGGTTAATGCACGAGATTGCAAAGCTGTTTGAACTGCAAGGTCAGCAGTTCAAGCTCACCACCCGCTCCTTGGAAACCCTACACAGGGTCGCTATGGGTCGATACCGACTCGACAGCACTTAACAACAACAAAGGCCAAGCATTATGAAGCACTGAGACTACCAAGCACACAGGTATTATGGGATAGAAAGAGCTTTGGATTGGGAGCGGGAGGCCTGAGTTCAGGGTCTTGCTGTGCACTTACTGCGCAGACCTGGGGGAACTCACATCACTTCCCTGAGCCTCCGTTCCCTGCTGTGGAATGCAGAGATAACAGTAATCATCTTGCTGCCTAAATGTGGCATTGACGGGCTTTGGCTCCTTGCAAAACTCCCATACATGGACCTCTAAGGAAAAGCATGCACAGTATTGAGGATCTTAATGAGAATATGGAGTCCTGGTGTGGCGCTGTGGGTTAATTCGCTGGACCACAAGGTCAGCTGTTCAAGCTCACCAGCCGCTCCTAGGAAACCCTATGCAGGGTTGCTGTGGGTCAGAACTGACTCGACAGCAGTTAACAACACCAAAGGAGAATATGCCAGAATCTCTTATAATAAAAACAAGAAAACGAAGTCGTCTTGGCAACTCATCAAGTCTGGAAACTCCAACCTGTTTGTTAAAAAAAATACATAAACGGATCATGTCACCGGTGGTCAGACATTATCATTCCCGCCAGGGTGACGTGACAGCATGTTCTGTGTGTCTTACCGTGTGGCAAGTTTATGACAAACGACGCCGGTGTCTGTGATCACCTCGCTCAGCCTCATCTCCAGGTGGACTTTGCCCTGAAATGACAATGACAAGTGTCTCACAGAGATGACAAGGCATGTGGCACACTGTCCCCAGCCAGCTACTAACTATGTCCCGTACGTGTTCTCACAAAGCAGAACCTCATTAGACCCCACCCAGGGAGCACCCGCTGGTGGTTTCCTATGTCCTCCCACTCAAATCCTTGAGACTCCGTCATGGTGGTCAAGCTTTCCCCAAAGGAGATTATGGGGAAAAGTCTGCTGAGATCAAGAGTTCGGTCATCTTGTCCTATGCTGTTGCCTAACGGGGGGCCATACATGCTCCCATCTCTACTGGAGGCAGATAGGCTGTTTCAGAAGAAAAGTGTAAGGAAAAGTTACTCAAAAACAAACACATGCTTGTTTTCCTAGAAGTTGATCATTTAATGCGTCAGACTGCAGTCGTTTGAGCTGCAAGGTCGGTGGTTCAAGCTCACCAGCTGCTCCTTGGAAACAGGGTCACTATGGGTCGGAATTGACTCAACAGCACTTAACAACAACAACATGACCTTGTGGTTTGCCACAAGGTCAGTGGTTCAAACCCACCAGCTGCTCCTTGGAAACCCTGTACAGAGTCACTACGAGTCAGAAATGACTCAATGACACTTAACAACAACATGGGACAAATAGGGAACACAGTGGCTCTGTAGGATAAACACTGGACTGCAAACCATAAGGTTTGTGGTTCAAGCCCACCACCTGCTCTCTGGGAGAAATATGAGGCTTTCTGCTCCCGTAAAGATTTATAGTCTTGGAAACCCTATACAACTGTGAGTTGGAACCAACAAGACGGCACTTAACAACAACAACACATGACTTGGGACATTGGAATGAGATATCCCAAAGTCTCATGATCTTGCCAGGGGTGAGCAAAAGATAAGGGAAGAGAAGCTCAACTTTACAAACGGATCTCTGTACTTCTTATATTTGGATGATCCTCAGGTGAAGTCTGAACAAAGATGAAAAGGAAATTTCTGTTCTTATGTAGAAATTTGATGCTCACAGATGTTTCTAGAAGGACAAGGAGTAGCAAAGAAGTTGGAGGAACAAGAGCACCAATGAACTCTGAGGCATGTAAGCTCTGGTACACCTCCACCTATGTTGTTACCTCTGTTTCTGTACCACTCTCTACTCATGTAGTCAGTCCTTGGGTGGTACAAACGGTTAACATGCTCGGCTACTAACCAAAAGGTTGGAGGTTCAAGTCCACCCAGAGTCACCTGGGAATCTACTTCCAAAAAATTAGCCGTCGACAACCGTGGGCAGCAGAGTTCTACTCTGATGCACCTGGGGTTGGCTTGAGTCAGAGTCCACTTAACAGCAACTGGTGGACCTACGTGGCCTGCTGCAGGTGAAGATATCAACACAAACAATGTGTGAAGGGCTACGGCGGACTCTCCGGTTAGTATCAAGAAGCACATAAGAAGAAACTTCATGGAGGAACAACGGGAATAGGGAGTCAAAGCAAAGGGAAAAAGTCCTCGGTCTTTAAAAAATAAAAACGTCAAATAGGAAACAGAGGGAAGCAGTGGTAGGTGATGATGTCGGTCCCATTGTGGAGGCTGCAACCAGTGAGATGAAGCAAAATGTGCATGACTTGCTGAGTGTGAAACTGGCCTGCTTTAAAGCTTCATCCAATTCACAGTAACAGGTTCTTTATAAAAAAACAACACACAAACAAAAGTATGTAAGTTATCACATTTATGCAAAAAGTATGCATGTATGTTGTATGCATGCATGATGTTAAAAATCTCAATTGCATTGCATTTTAAGGTGGTGGAGGACTGAACTAAATAATTTCCAAGGTCCTTTCCGACTTAAAAATTGTAGAATCTACACCCTTAAGGAGAACAAGACCTTGTCCCAGACGAACCCAGGGCAGGGAAGCCCAGAAAATGTGTGAATGGAATTTAAACAATGAGACCGCCAGGGACCATTGTAAAGACCTTACTCCCTCAGCAGCCACCCCCACTTCTACTTAGGTTTTCACCTTGTTGTTATTGTTGTTGTTATGTGCCATCGAGTGGGTTCCGACCCATCACGACCCTGTACAGGGTTTCCGAGGCTGTAAATCTTTACGGGAGCAGAAAGCCTCATCTTTCTCCTGCGGAGCGGCTGGTAGTTTCGAACTGCTGACTTTGCGGTTCCCAGACCGATTCGTTTCACTTAGCATCTGGATATTCTTTCAGTCACGCCTGTACCATTGTATTTTCCTTGGGCATCTTTACAAAACACCTGTGCTACTTATGTCTCACCAGGTGTGCATGTTACCCCAGGCCAATCAGAAATCCCTAGGGCCTCATCCTCATCCCCACCTGGGGCTGAGCTCTACTCTCCACCTGCACACCCAGAGGATACTCCCTGAATTAGTCCCAGCCCAGCAGGAGGGGCTACAGGGCCCCATACGATGTCCGACTGGCCCTGGACTACTGGCAGAGCAGAAGGCAGCATTCCCTCCCCTGCTCAGCTTTCATCCTTCTGGGAGACTGTCTGGGGGTCTTGGCATTGACAAGCCTTCTCTGGATTCCAGCCACACTGGTCTCTGATGAGACTGACTCCCTTCTCCTCCATCCCTGACAATCATGGACCAGTGAGACTGATTCCCTTCTCCATCCCTGACAATCATGGACCAGTGAGACTGACTCCCTTCTCCATCCCTGACAATCATGGACCAGTGAGACTGACTCCCTTCTCCATCCCTGACAATCATGGACCAGTGAGACTGACTCCCTTCTCC